TTATTGCTAAATAGGCACATTTATGTTGACATGGCCTACTGTTATTAGACTGCTCCCTTAACTGGCTCATATTTCAGATGCTGCTATTATTTCATTATTAGGCCTACTCCCGCTACTGTTAATCAGGCTATTTGTGGTGCTGTTATTTTAATATAGGTTAGATAGCCTAGGCTACATATAAAGGTTTACATACATCAGATAGGGGTTGCACTCCGCACTTTATAATTCTCCAGCCCCGCCATTCTTACTCCCCTGCAGTAAACAGATCAGCTGTCTCGTCTACTTTACATTGCCGTCGTATTTTTGCGAGCCTGACTGATGGTGAAAAGCTCAAATACTGTAAAAGTGCTTCCACCTGGCAAGAAAAGTTTTCCAGGTTTCCTCTACAGCTGCATTAAAAATCTAAAAAGATTCACAGTAACTTTGGTTTGATTTAATGAATGTATGACTTCAGCATTAAAATTGAAATCCTGCTCACAGGTCATGTGTCAGATGAGAGTAGATGAAATTACAGGTTTACTGAGAGAGATTTTTACAGCAGTTTAGATTATCCAAAGCAGGTTAAAGTCAAGAGCAACTGGACTTTGTTGAAGATACTAGAAGACGTTTCGTCCCTCATTCAAAGGACTTCTTCAGTTCTGACTGACTGGCAGGGAAACTCAGCTATTTAACCTCAGTGGGGTCGTTGGCCAGAATCGTCGATATTGCTGGTTCGTTAGTGTTCCTGGCTGTGGTAATGACAGTCATTTTGGTCGTTAGGACTACCCGAGGCAGTTTAGATCAATTTACAGGAGCTGAGATCTCATCTTTTACATCTTCATATTTTCTTAGACAAAATAAATGAACTGAAGTCCTGGAGTCTAGAAACTTCACTAACTAAAAGACAGTCAACCCTCCTGGCAAGTCCGACGTTTTTAACCTTAACGCCTAACCCTATATGTCTGTGGGCAAGTCATTTAATGTTACAGACTCTTAAATCATGGCTGGAACAGTGCTGTGTAACCACTGTGTTTCCCATTTACAGAGCCATAATTAGATATTCTCTGAGTTTGACAAAAGGACATGTAGAATCGTATAACTTACCTGTAATTGTTATGTTATAGATAGTCTGCATTTATCTCAAGGATGAGAGAGCCAGGGCACAATTATTATGCTGTACTATGACAATAAACTTGTACTTCGAAGAGTTGTTTTGCAGCCAAAAGAAAAGTTCAACAGAGACACAAGCTGAGGTGTGCAGGTACTGACAGCGTTCGGAAGCATTTTCATGTAAGACAAAATTATTGAAAACGGAGGGACTACAATGGTGAGAACAACAATAAAAAGTCCATAAAAGTCACAAAAGTGTACAACCATACCCCAAAAATAAAGATGAACACCTTGTTTAAAGTCATGCGTGTGTTATATTGTAGAGGACAACAGATGACTGCTAAACAGGCAAATTCAATACTTCCGTAAGAGTACAAACACAAAATCTGCAGGAAACAAAAGGGAGCAGAAACAGTGTGAATGTCAGAGAGAATCTGAAGCAGAAGGAATGGAAACAACCCTGTACTACCATACAGCTCATTTACAAACAGGCTGCACAGAAAAAGGTACATAGGTTCATGTAAGCTTCTGTTCATACAGATAACCACAATGAGAGACGTGTTGACAGTGAGCAAATATTGAAGAAGTTTCGTCTAATCACTTTTCACTGAATAAATAATTCACTTGTTTAATTAACAGTATCACAGGTAGCCTTAAATTACCCAGCCAGACTGCTGCAGTCACCTCTGTCAGGTGCAGAAACACCTGATGTGTTATACGTTTCCAGAACAGAAAAGTCCCACAGGGCAGTCCTATGTCATTATTGTTCGCAGCACCAGCTCAACTGGAGAAAGTAAAGCCTCGTTTGAACGGCTACTTTCAAAACAAAACTTCTTAATATGTTTAATGTTATACCTATTTAAGTGTATGATTTGATTTTTGGGAATGTTGCTGATCAGGTGATGATTAATAAGGGAGAATACTTCTACACAAAATGTAACATTTTGTTAATTCCTTTGGGCTTTTCTCAAATTGTTAGCTTTGTCCTTGTCTTTAAAATTCTTGAAAAATTCATTATTGCTGAAGACAGCTGAGAGGGAGAGGATGACGTGCAGCAAAGAATCCCAATCAAGCCAAGGGCCCTGCAGAAAGGACTTTAACCTTCTACACGATGCACATGCTCTACCATGTGAGCTAACCAGCATCTCAGTACTTCAACAACTACAAAAATTAAACAATCTGAAAGGGAATATCAGCCTTGATTAAGCTGCCAACGAGGACCAATGATTAGTGTTCCCAGATGGAAGTGTATCTATGCTCCTAGGTTCAGGGCCAGGTTCTGATGTCTCACGTTTGACGTCACAAAAGGTGCAGTGCTTAGGTTTAACAGCTTCATGCTGGGCAGATAAAAGGTGTGTTTACAGTGTCTTTGTGCTCCAAAAGATGTCACAGCGTGTATTTAAAGTAACAGTTAACACACTGTTAGCCTTGCATGCTAATACTACATAAACATATGGGTGAGACATTTATAGATACAGATAGACAAACGACTGAGACAGGACAAAAAAGGCTGGAATGACCTTTCACCTGAGAGACTTAATTAATACAGTTACAGTGACCTAACTTTCCATGTTCCTTGAGGACATGGCAGCCTTTGAGAGGCTTCCATAAGTTACAGATGAGAATTAAAGCTGCAGGCAGCGTTGGCCGGGCCCTCGCACCTGTAGTGCGTCGGGGTGTGAGGCTGCCACGCTGCATATTCTGGAGCTCCACCGGTGTGGCAGTGAATTTGCTACACGATTCGGACGCTGCATGAAGGCGTCATACGTCACTTCCTGTGTCCCCTTTGTGGCGTTACATAGCACTTGGCGCTATGACTAGAAATGAATATAGGCGTATAGATTGGGGCGGGACAGTTATCAAGCACGTAAAGATTTGTTCAGATGTGAGCATGTACACTGAAGTTACAACAACTTCCTGTGTCATGGCGAAGAGTTGATCATTGACGCCACGGACACGCCCATCGACGAAAACTCACAGATAGCACAAATTTTCATCGTCAATGCCTTTAGAAGGCACAGCACAAATCTGAAGTCGGTCCGACTAAATCCCTAGGAGGAGTTCTTTAAGTACAGAGTGTGTAAATCATCCAAAAATGGCCGTAAAATTCAAAATGGCCGACTTCCTGTTGAGTTTAGGCTATGGGTTCTTGAGGCTTTTTTGTGCGTCTTGATATGATACATGTCCCCAGAAAATTTCGTACATGTAGGTTGAACGTGAACAAGGGGCTAATCTTTTCCAATATTCTAGGTGGGGCTAGCGAGTCATTTTGCCACACCCATGCGCGAAACCCATAAAATACGGAATTTTTCACCAGTTCTGACATGTTTGCAAAGTTTGGTGAGTTTGAGTATGTTTAGGCCCCCAAAATTGAGCTCCCCAGAGCTGCTGAAAATGGCTGTCAGTGGCTTTGGTGAAGAGAAAAGACTCAACTTGGGCCCCTCAAGTGAGGAGATGGTATCTAGGGGGTGAGCCTGGGACACCGGGAATCACTGCTGGACCCACTGGAGGTGTCGTGGGCCTATCAGCGAAACATCGAGGAAAGAGGGTGCCCATTTGATAACCCAGAAGATGCCATCTCCCACTTGAACAACCCGTATAGTCTAGACAGTATTCCTTAAGTGTGCAATTAAGCCATATTAACATGTAGATCTGATATGTTCTCCTGATAGCTTAAGATTTCAACACCATTTTGTGTGATCATAAATTATATCTTTCTGTTGAATGATTCCTACATGGCTCATGCATAGTAGAATAGACTAAATAGAATTTAGGAAATTATAATTGTTCTAGTACCACCAAAATAATTTACTAATAATAATAATAATCACCAACTTCTTAGTTGTCCATCTATGAATATCTTTATTTTTTCTGATATAATGTACTCTGGCTGCCAGAGACAGGTTAATTGGTGCCCCTAAATTGTCCTTCGGTGAGTGTGACTGCCCTAAATTATTTGTGAGTTTGACCGGTTGTTTGTCTATGTGTGGCCTGGCGACCTGTCCATGGTGTACCCCGCCCCGGATTGGATTCAGCCCCTACGATGGATGGACAGTGGCCGATTTAGTATGCTGAATTCCATAAAGTACATACATTTGATCCAATAGGGGACCTATAGTATTATTGGGGTCTTCAGAATCCTCTAGTATTTGTTTTATTTTTGGGACAATTATACGAGCAGAAATGATGAGTATTCGCTGTTAAAGATTACTAATTGTAAGGGCAAAATTAACCATTGTCCTATGTGTACTTATATTCTTATAATGCTCTAGACTTCTTCTGCTTAGTTGAGCTTTATTTCCCCTCAAGGGCCCATGTGTTCTCGTACAACAAATTCCTTTAAGATTGTTTTGTCTCATTGAGAATCAGAAGGATTCCATTCCGGTTCAGTTTCCCTCAGGACTGAGAAAGAGACCTTCTTCCCCAGACTCCGTGTCTATGTAATAGCACTAAATGATACCAGTTATCTTATGTCTTGGTCAGACTCTCTGAACACACCACGGTGTTTAGAGCTCTTTCCTTCAGCTGAATTAACGTGCCCTGTTCCTCTTTTTAATAAATAGACAAAGACAAACATTTTATTGTAACTTCTTTATTCGTTCTTTGATGATTCAAGTTTTGCTAGCGAGGGTTCTCACCTAGTTGAGTTGTTAACAATTACAGTCTTTTTATAAACTAATCTAAAACACAGTGTTTGATCGATAGAAAATCCTGAAAGAGAGACCTAATTACTGATGTGTGGTGCCCCTTACAGATTTTTATACATTTAAATTGCACAACAATAATGTGCTGTTTGAGAAAGATGTACCAATGGACTTTTGATGAATCCTTTATGAGTTCCAAGTTACTGTTTTCAGTTTTTTATGTTGCTATTAATTTTCACGACATTTTATTGCTTTGCCAGTGTTTTGATCAAATTTGGTTAGATTAGTCTTTGAGATATTAACGTGAAGTGCTTAATAGACTGTTTTAACTAATTGTTGCACTCAAGTTTAATCAGTATTTACTCCTTTCATAGCTTTGGAATGATTTGGTGTATGACCTAACATGGCAATATTGTTCTCTCTTTGATGTTGATCTCTATTGGTCTGTGAAGAAATACTTAATGAGAAAGGGCATGTAAGTTTCACACAGGGTCTCTCTAGATCACATTAGAGTCATTACAGAGCAAAAAAAGGTCACAGCTTGTAACTTTCCAAAGTAATAAATTTAACTTAAACTTTCTCCAAGGCAACCCAAGGTCATGATTAGCTTGTTTCAGACAGACAGAAAGTTTAGAAACTTTAGAAAGTATTACATGTGACAAATTACAACATGACATAGGTTAGCATTAGAGTTCAATATCCAATACAGTGGTTACACATATCTAAACCAGTAATGAGGTCTGACAAGCTCACAAGAATTCTCTTCACATTTTCCCCCCATTCAGTTTCATGTTTTCAGTCAGCACATTTCAATGCGAGATGTTATGAATAATTTACTGACACTTTTTTATTGCACTTACATGGTATCAATCTGACCAGTGAACAGTTTAAAACAGAACAGATGCTTAAATGTTCTTCGGATTTTGGACATTTGCATTCCATACATGATAGGATTCAAAAGTGGTTGTATGGTGAGAAAATACAGAGAGAGAAAGATACGCAGCACACTGGGAACACCGGTCATATCAAATCTGCTCTGAATCATCTCAAAGCTGCTGCCAAAAGAAAAGTTCAACAGAGACACAAGCTGAGGTGTGCAGGTACTGACAGCTTTCTGTCTGGTCTGTTTGGAAGCAGCAAAACAAACCTTAAGAATTTTTATGTAAGAACAAAAGATTAGAAGCAGGGGGATTACAACAGAGAAAACAATACCAACAAGTCCATAAATGTCATTCAGTCTTGTGTCAGAGCACGCCAACTTAACTACTAGGTAGTTCTGACAATATAAACTGTTAATGATGTTTCTACACTGTGTCAACCGGATGTTTAAGGACAAAGTCATTAGAAATTTCACAAAAGAGTACAACCATACCCCAAAAATAAGGATAAACACCTTGTTCAAAGTCATGTGTGTGTTATATTGTAGAGGACAACAGATAGCAAGATATCTGTCGTAAGACATGATGGCTAAGTTACTAAATTCTATACTTCCATAAGTATATAAACAGAAAATCTGCAGGAAACAAAAGGGAGCAGAAACAGTGTGAATGTCAGAGAGAATCTGAAGCAGAAGGAATGGAAACAACCCTGTACTACCATACAGCTCATTTACAAACAGGCTGCACAGAAAAAGGTACATAGGTTCATGTAAGCTTCTGTTCATACAGATAACCACAATGAGAGACGTGTTGACTGCAACAATTACAATGTAAAGCAAAGCAGTTATCAGGAAATAAAAGTATCTTAAGTTTCCAACATGCAAATAAGCTCCAAGAATAAAATAAGATAAACTTGATAAAGTTGAATTTATCATCATTCTTGTTTTAAGCGACAAAACTACAAACTACAAAGTGTGCAAATACTGAAAGAGTTTCTTCTCATTACTTATCCTAGAATAAATAATTTACAGTATCACAGGCAGCCTAAACTTACCCCGCCAGACTGCTGTGGTCACCTCTAACTGTCAGGTGCAGAAACTTCTTCTGACTTATACCTTAACAGAGCAACAGGCCAGTCCTACGTCATTATTGTTAGCAACACCGCTTCATTTCATGGTTACTTTCAAAACAAAACTTCTTAATATGTTAAATGTGACACTTAATTAAGAGTATGGTTTGATTTGGTGGGGGGTGGGGGGGGGGGGGGTGAACATGTGATTATTAAACACTTATACATACATAATTTTTTTCCCCATCTCTGTCAAATACTAGAGTTTAAGATCTTGAAAAGGGCCTTAAACACTACAAAAAATAAATAGTCTGAAAGGAAACATCAGTCTTTGGTAACAGTTTATGGACAACCTGTGACGAGGTTTCCAGCAGGCATTCACTGGCTCTAAAGAGTCACAAGTCAAAAAGGTAAAAAGGTGGTCCCAGATGGGAGCATACTGTCCCCAGCTCAATATTCTCCTAATATCACACATTAAGGAGACCTTTTTAAAGGCTTTAATGTTCTCAGCAATGTCTTCCCCCTGGTTAAATGTTTCCCTGAGTCAATAATTATCCCAACGGTTTGTTGAGGACAAAGCCCACACAGGTTCTGTGGTTGGAAACAGACCAGTTTGACGGGGAATAAAGACTACAGATGGAATCATACTCCTTTCTCTCCCTAGTTTCTAGTCTGCCTCTTCACTATTAGCTGCCCATTAAAGGCAAAGATGTGTTTACGGTGTTTGACAGACTGTTAGCCTAGCATGTTAATACTACATATAAATGCATCAGTAACGAAGCTGTTGAAAGGGTGGAGAGCTTCAGATACCTTGGACTTACTCTGGCCAATAAACTGAATTAAATCAACATACTACAGACACTTTCAAACGTTGCCGACAAAGACTTCAAATCCCTTTCAGTAGCACCCAACCTTCTTTACTGTTCAACCTGTTATTTCAACATACTCACTGTGTCCAATAGGAACAAACTTACACACATCACAAATAATGCCTCCAAATAATTGGTCTCCCCACCCCCAACCTCGCTGACCTTAATAGGAAAGCCATTTTATGGAAAGCACACATAATAGTCATCCTCTCAACACCTTCTTCACTCTGCTACCATCAGGTTGTAGATATAGATCCCTGGCCTGGAAACAGGCTCGCTATAACAGGAGTTTTCAATCAAACAAACCTCAAGTGGCGTCTCGCGGATCCCGACGCCTCCGGAGAGGTCTCCCCCTCGTCCCCGGCCCCTCAGCCGACCTCCTGACCACCTCAGTTTGAAGGGCCTACCTCCGCGTAGGCCTCCTGACCTGCTCGGCCTGTTGGGTCGACCTCCGGGTCGTCCCCCTGAACTCTCTGGTTTCCCCGTTGCCCCGCCTTCAGGCCGCCTGCCTGAGGTTTCCTGTTGAACCAGAGTTCTCTGGCCGTCCACCAGAGACTTTTTTGGTTTCTGTGTTCCAGGGATCCCTCCTCCCACCCTGGTTCGGACTTGTGTTTTGGGGGTGTGGTGTTTTGTTTCGGTTTGGGGGATGGTTTTGTTTTTTTTCCTGCTCATGGACTCTGGCCCTCCTCCTGTCCTCCCTCAGCCTGGTTTGTCTTTTGGGTGGGGTGTTAGTTTCTGTTGTTGGGATAGGGTTGTTTTTGGAACGCCGGGTGTCGTTGTTTGAGGGGGGGGGTACTGTCACGGGTTTGGGTTTGTGGGATGTGTTTTGTCTTTGTTTTCTTCTCTTTGTAGGGGCGTAGGTATAGACAGTGCAGCTGCACTGGGGCCCGCACTGTACTGGGGGCCCTTGACGGGGCTGGTCTTTGTCAGTTACATAGTAAAAATGCATCATATCTTGTCAATCAATATTAAACACCTGTTTCATCTTGTATTTTGTTTTATGGCGATCAGGTGGTATATACACACACTCATATGTGCATTTCCCCCTTTCGCTGTGGTGTCAGACACCAGAGTGTTTTGAAAAGTCTGTTGCAAGCAGTAGGCTATCAGGTATATGGTGAGATATAAAAAAAATTTATTCCACAGATTCAACAGCCTTATTTTCTTTGCTATTCGTGACACATTGCCCACAAATGCAGTGGTGATTGCTGGGTAATATGTAAATGAATGCCCAATCTTAAGTTTCTATTTGATCATGTGACAAGATGACAAGACTCCAGAAATCAGGTGAAATGCAAAATCTGACCAGTAGCCTAGCGGAGCACACGTGCAGGCTAGCAGTCATTCATTCACACAAAAAAGTAGTTCCAGAGGGTCGCAAAGCTCCCAGATAAGATTGTTTTGGATTACTGAGGACATTGTCAAAGATTTCCCTCAAAGCAGGCTCGTCGGTGCCTTTCAAATACTGAAGTAACTTTACAAGTGCTTTTTCAGTGGATTTGGTGCGTCATTTCGGGGTCAGCTCGCCGCTGAGTAGGCCTACCCGTTTAATTGTGAGGACGTGTTTGTGGGTATTAATCTGCCGTAACGGTCCGTTTTCAGAACATGGTGTTGTGTTATGAGTAGGCCACTTTTCTTATTCACCATAATGTCTTTCCTCTCTGTTGAAGAGGAACGTGGTTGTTGTGATTCAGGAGGTTATTATACTGAAATTGCCCGAAAAAGTCTGCGTCATTTAAGCACCGCAGTGGACACCACCTGCACTCAGCTGTTTGTAGTGACGTTTCAAGGGTTTTGACAGTGACGGCAACCGGCCATGCGCTCCTTATACCTTTCTCTTTGATTTCTGTACTTTGCAAATACAAAAGTCAAGGTGACACAGTCCGACTCTAAAATCCATTACACGATGGTACTTTAGTCTGCTGCGTCCAGGCGCAGCAACACAGCTGCTGCAGCAGCGTGTCTGTGTGTTGGAGAGAGACTGAATTTAATATGTTAATATGGAAAGAAATCAATTTAAGGAGCTTTAAATGAGGTATTTACGCATCTAATCTCATCAGTTGTTAAACCGTAGAAAAACAAGGCACAGAAATATAGGGTTCATAACAGACTGCACTGGGGCCCATTGTTACTACCTCACGCCACTGGCTCTGTGTCCTCAAACTCTACACACCATCATACCCAACATTGTTTTACTGCCCAGTAAAAGTAATATTTTCTATTGTTAGACAAAACGTCAGTGTGTCTGTCCATTCTGTTGTCACAGAGTCTGAGGGGAGGTCATTATCGTCCTCAGCCCTCTGTGCACCAGTGGAACCAGCGCTGAGGTCTGCTCAGGCTGATTGGTCTCACTGGTTAACAGCTCTGACTGTAATTTGCTTCAGAGGGAATTCGTGGAAACTGTGGCTAAAGAGGTCTCTAGGACAAACATGTTGACAGGCTGGAATGACCTTTGACCTGAGGGACTTCATAATGAGCTACAGTGATCTAACCTCCCACGTTCCCCGAGGACACGGCAGCCTTTGAGAGGTTTTCATTAGTTAGGGTGGGTTAGTTAGTGCAAAAGTTTTTATTTATGAGCATTACTTTTTATTGTTTGATAGAATTTTAAAGCTCTAGTTATGATTTTATGATTAACAATCAATTGTCTGTGTGTTATGTTGTGAACCCACAAAGAATTCTCAGCAATTCTGCAGCTTTTAAGGCTCTTTTAGCTCCAGTTTGGGTTTTACGGCGCATTTAATGTATATTTATACTTACCAAGAGTGTAGAGTCAGCTCTTGTGGTGCTGTGGCTCCAGCTCATGTCATGTCTGGTCAAGCTGCTGCTCAAAACATGGTCTGCCTGTCAGAACTGTGGGAACAAATGAATAGTTAGAAAATTATTAACTGTTGGGCTTCTGTAAATAACATCATAGAGTTCGGTCTAGACCTGCTCTTTTATGAAAAGCGCTGTGAGATAACTGTTGTTGTGATTTTGCGCTATAGAAATAAAATTGAATTGAATTAAAATTGCAATTCTCTAATAATAATAATAATAATCATTAACAATCAGATACGGCTGGACGAAGAATAAGGTATCTTGGACAACTCACAGATTAATTTACTACAACTTACTAAAATTGCGTTGAGACAGTTTCTTCTACAGCTGAAGGTGGTGGATGCAGAGTAAATGTTCACAAACCTTTTGTACAGCTTGTTAATGTAACATATTTCCTCTTGTCATCAGAATAATTGCAGTCTTTGAAAATGGGATTGAATCTACAAAATCAATGAATCAAACACACCTCAAGTGGCCTCCGTGAGAGGCGGCTACCGGGTAGAACAACCTCACACACTGCTGTTCACTGACGATTCACTGCCAGGATTCAAATCCGGGGCTGAATCCTGGACCCTCACAGACTCTGATCATAACATACTGTGATGACCCTGAAGTGCTCGTCAGCATTATGCAAGTCTGCAATAACAAGCACTTCAGACTTTGCTTGTTGCCATTGATTGATTGACAAATGCTGAGATCTTGAAATTTAATCGCATAATAGGACTCCCAATGAATAATATTACATTTATTCATTTTTTTTCCCAAAGCGACTTACAATTGCTATACATGTCAGAGGTCGCACGCTTCTGGAGCAACCATGAGTTAACTGCAGAAATGATCAGGTAATCGTGTGTTCGCTTCACGTTTGATGTCAGAAAACAACGGTAACATTAAGATGATGATGAGCCAGCGTGCAGTGCCTCTCTCTCTAGTCTGTCTTGCTAATGTTAGCTGTGCAGCGCATCTCTTAGTCTGTCTGTGTCTTCTAGTGCTGTGTTCTGTGACTTTGACTAGTAACAAGACATTTTTAGGCGACCAAAATGTTACAAACTTAACCGGTCCAAGCTCTTAGACGAAACACAGACTTCTGCATTGGCATCACCTTTCAGATCCGGAAGTTCCCGCTTGGTTCTCAGATGTGTACTCCATGACGTCACGTCCCTGGGAGATGACCTCAAAGAGAGAGTGGTTAGTAGGAATTCCCAAAT